CAATGTAATACCCATTTTTCACTATTTCTGTTATGAGTCCCATGTAATAGGGGGTGAGCCTATTGCCATATACCGGACCTAAGTAAAACAAACACTTTTTAAACCGCATGAAAATTGATTCAGCTAGTCGCGAGATAATCGCGCACAAACATACATAGGTACATACATACATACATACATACACATACATAGATACATTTATATATTATATACATACAGGTCAAACTGCGTACGCACGGCCACACATCAATCTATACAAAACCAGTTTATCCTGGTGTCGCGTCGCATCATCTTTCCGCACATTTAACGTTCAGTTTATACTGGTTATGTAAAGCTCGATGCGTAGCCGCGTGTACCTTCTTTTTTTTTGAAATCAGTTAAAAAATAACCTAATTAAATGCCAACGTAAGGGAATTATCGGGTTAAAATAAAGCGTGTGACACACCGACCGTTTGGGAACATCGCCAACTATTTTACAGTTTCAAACTGAATTCTGTTTCAATGAAAATAGTAAAATTGGCTCGGCGTTACAGTTACACTGATGTTCCCAATATTATTTTCAATCTACCTATTGATTCCGCGATCAGTAAATTTTAGAGTCGTTTTTCTGTTTGTTCTGTGTAAAATTCGGTAAGTTGGTTTTTTTATGACATAAGACGGTAAACGAGCAGACGGGTCACCTGATGGTAAGCAATCGGCGTCGCCCATTGACACCTGGAACACTAGAGGCATTACAAGTGCGTTACCGGCATTTTGGGGATTAGGAGTTTGAGCATCGTTGGGGATTCAGGGATTGGGGAGATTGGGGAAGGGGAGGGTAATTAGGCCTCCGGTAACCTCACTCACATGATGAAACACAACGCAAGCGTTGCTTCACGTCGGTTTTCTGTGAGGCCGTGGTATCACTCCGGTCGAGCCGGCCCATTCGTACCGAAGCATGGCTCTCCCACACTTTGTTGTGATATAAACTCTAAACTGCCTCGTTGGCCGAGTGGACGCAAGTGCGACTGCCGGGCAAGGGGTATATTGCAATAGGCTCACCCCCTATTACATGGCACTTATAACATAAATAGTGAAAAATGGGTGTTACATTGTACAGTGACATTAATTGTCGAGATGTGCACCTCTGCCTACCCCTTCGGGGATAAAAAGGCGTGATGTTATGTTATAAACTCCGAAATCCAATGAAGGAACATGACAGACTACACTGACTTGCTGCTGTCTATACATTCTCAATACTATATTAAAATTGAATTATTAAAGAAATCTGATACTATTGATTTCAAAAGGATGATAAAGCCAAGTTCAGTAGCTTCGAGATAAAAAATATAATGTAATGTTAAATAACTAGACAATGGTTTTATCGATATTGAAATTTCAATTCTTTTATAATAAGAATAGAAGTGTATTTACCTTATCAGATTTCTATTCAAATAAAATATTATTGTCTACTTTTATTTCAAAGGGCTACGTAGATTTTTATAAAACATATAAAAGTACTGACTGCCTGCCTGCTG